AGGACCCGGCGGGCGAGGGCAGGCCGGCCCCTCTCCCTCCTCCCTGGAATGTGCGACACAGGGAACCGAGACGTGAAGAAGCGTGCAACACTGAACGGATTTCTCGCGGGTCATCTGGGAAGGGATGCTGCACTCCCTGGCAGTCTGAAAGGACAGCCGGCCCTGGAATGCAGGCAGTTTCACTCAATGGCATTTCATTACAGAGGCCCGCTGAGATGCTGCAGGAACTTGACTCGCTGACGCCTGTTTGAGTAAAACTGGTGTCATTATCTGGCCCAAGCTTAAACCTGCAGAGTCTACTGGTGGCATGAACTGAGGGCTTAGGAGGGGGTGTGGAAATCTGCTGGTGAGAAGGGAGCCTGGAGGGAGCGGAAGGGCAGGGGGCGGGGAAGGCCGGCCCCTCCCAGGACAACCCGCAGTGGGCCGGGCTCAGGGTAGGTGTGCACAGAGCACAGAAGCGAAGGGAGCAAAGGCAGTGGTTTCTACTTAATGTCTTTCTATAGAGTAAACACACCGGCAAATGCACCTACGCGAGCGCATGCTCACGCCCTGCACACGTGCACACACACACACACCCCATACACAGCCTCCACACAGTGCTTACCTCCCTCTTCCCATCCTAAAACACACTTCACCTCTTCTGAAAACAGCGTGAGGAACTGCCCAGAGACAGCGGCAGTCCTTGTGCGGTGCGACCGCCCCAGACGAGGGCCTGTTCCAGGACTCGGGGAACCTCCTGACTTCCCAGGCGGCGCCCTGCCTCTGACCACAGAACTCGTCGGCCAGCAAGACTCAAGAGAAATCAAAGGAGGGAGAGGTTCCGACAGCCTCCTCATGAATGAGGCGAGTGCCACAAGTAGAGCTCGGACACACACACATTGGAGGCCCGTACAGAGTGCCTGGCGCGGCCTGCACAGTCCTTGTTCTTCCCCACGGGCACAGTCCCTCCCCCTTCCACACGGGCGTGCAAGCGCTGAGTACCGGCCACGTGAAGATTATCAGCAGCAAAGCAAATGCGATCAGCAGACAGACCTGATCACAGTGAACAGATAATTCAGGGAGGAAGAGGACTTCGTACAGTGTGAACAAGCACCGCAGAGAGATCTCAGACTGCCCTGCGCCCCGAGCTGCACACTGTCCAAACTGGCATAGAAATCAATGGACTCCATGAAATCTGCCTCCAAATAAGGAACGCAGTGATTCTACTCAATAAATACAAATCAAGGTTTAAGGGGATTTGGGCCTGTCTTCTATTAGAAAAAAATGAAGGACTTTTAAAACAAAATACTATTTATGGAAAGCTCAATCTAAAGCAAAGTGAAGTGTGCCGTGACTTCTGAGCACTGAAGCAGGAGCAAGAAAAATTCATTTGACTCAGATGGGTTCCTAGCACATATTTCAATTGTGCAGAATACACGTATGACCACAATAATTTACTTATTGTTTTTCTACATTCAGCATTCACCTAGAGATAAGGCATAAAAGACAATTTTGATAGCTAAAGGGCGTGAGTTTGCTTATCTTGATTACCCGTGTTAACTTCCTGTAATTTTTCGAATTTATTCTCTATGGCTGTAAAACAAATTAACTAGAATCTCTCAGTTCCAAGAGGCCACTCTCACGTTTTCAGTCCCACTGGGAGCCCCCCCCCCCATCCTCAGAGTCGTACCCGCTGTCCACACACGGCAGTGGCCGCCCTGTCACCTGTCACCGTCCCAGCAGATTTACAAGCCCGAGCGAAAAGGATTAGATGGAGTACACACTCCAGGGGGTGGGGACCTGGGCGGTCATTTAACAACTCTGCCGACCACCTACTGGAAAGTGAGGCCAGGTTTAGGAACGGGATTCCGAAGAACAGCATGTGCACTGGAGAAAAATGGGAACTTGACAGGTGAACCACGGAAAGACGCCCTAGACCAGGGCTGAGGGTCGGCACCACCAAGGACGTCTCCGACGTCACGGACCCCAACATTCCGTGTTATGTGCCTTTTACTTCTATGATGTGCCCGCACTTCTCAAAATCCCAGCATAGTCGTGACAAACTCACGGCACGTTCTCCAAAACGCCCGACCAGTGCTCCAAACTTCCAAGGACACCAACGAGAAGGGAAGACTGAGAAACTGTCACCAGAGCAGGGGGAGGAGGCATGACGAGGAGAGCGGCTGCGGCGTCCTGGACTGGAACCGGCGCGGGGGCGGGACAGCGGCCAGAACGCCCATGAAATGGGAGTCAAGTCGGGCACCTCGTTGGTAGGGCTGGTTTCTTACTTTTGACAAAAGTATGGTGGTTATGTGAGAAGTTATTGAGGGGAGCAGTACTAGCTTCCCAGTGCTTCTATAAATCTAAATTTCATTCGAAATAAAAATGTTCATTTGAAAAACTGGTGTTATAGATGACTGTCCTTAAAATTGACAGTAAAAGCAGCTAGTGTAAGAATGCAGTGAGTTCAGCGACAATTTATTTTTAAAGGGTAGAAGGAATCGGCCCGTCTGCCTTTTCAAATGACCTAAAAAGTAAGTCCAATTCAGTATGGTGAAAGTTCCCTTCCATTTTAATATTTAGCTGAAATCATGTATATACACTAATACTTTTATAAAATTTAAAGAATTCTCTCAGAAAAATTACTCCTAAACTTTGTTGAAAGAGGATGTTTCTTTGTTTTTAGTAATCCGAACTCATAGAACTACACCAGAATTCGCTGCAGGGAGGAAAATGCGTGGCTGAGTTCTGGCTTTGCCAAAAGTGCTCATCAGATAAATGTATGGTGTTTCCTCGCATTTTCTATACTGATAGAGTCTCTACCTCCATTTTTTAAAAATCATAACATATTTCTGAATACCTAGAGTGAAGAATTTTGTTTCTGCTGTGAGTGGAAAACTAAGTTCTTGCTGTATGTGGGACCGTTCACTACCAGCAGGAACCGTGGGCTTCACTCTAGAGGAGAGGAGTCAGAGTTTCCCCTAAGGAGGTAAATGCCTTCCGGCAGGACCATTCCTCATTATGTCATTGTATCCTCGGAATCTGTCTCACACGTAAAAAATACAGACACAAAATCGATGTCGAAATAATGACTCTGCAGAAAGAATGACAGGAGACAGAACCCAGCCGGGAGAAAGAGAAGCTGGCCCCAGGGAGTTCCGTTCTGGGTCTCGGGGCTAGGAATCTACGGTAAAGGGAAGGGGACAATCGGATCCAGCGGGCAGGTGCGCCAACAGGACTCCCAGCAGGACAAGGGGGCTGCGAGGGGGGCCGCCCCCGCTCCCTCCCCGCGCCCTGGGACGTCCCCATCTGGGCTCCTCAGCGTGCCCCGAGCAGGGGCGACACGGGATGGGAATGGGCCGGTCCGTGTCTTAATAAAGAACACAGGAGAGGAGTTTAAGATCCTCTCAGGAATTTATGTCAAATGGCATATGCTTCTTGTCAGCTAAAAATGGGAAGCATGCTAATGCAAAAATAATTTTCTAATGTATAAATTTACATTTTGGGGAGGTCGCAATATTTCTCTTGTTGCTAATTTGACACTTACTGTAACTCACACACACACACACACACACACACACACAAACATTTTAAAAACAGCTAAGAATGAAGACTTCTGCTCTCTAGAGTTTTCATGCTTTATAGAAACACCTGGCGCTACGTCTCAGGCACACAGGTCTCTTAACATTCGGCCGGTACGTGCCGAAAGCCAAACAGCCTGACTTCCAGCTGTGGCATGAACCCCGGCCCCTGCGCTGGGGCAGAATGTGCACTTTGCATCAAAGTGCAACCTGTTGTATCGCTGATTTTTAAAACTTATTTTTCAGTGACAGTTGACACAATATTGTATTTATTTCAAGGTGTACAGCAGTGATTAAATATTTACATAGCTTAAAGAATGATCACCGCACTAGGTCTAGCAGCATTATATGTTTACTTTTTTTAAATCCTCATCGGAGGGTCTTTGTTGTTGTTGTTGTTGTTGTTGTTGTTGTTGTTGTTATTGTTGGATTGATTTTGGAGAGAGGAAGGGGGAGACAAATGTCCATCGTGCCCGACTGGGACCGAACCCTGAACTTTTGGTATACGGGACTATGGGCTACATTTAGTTTTGGAAGCAAGAAACAGTGAGTCCTCATCTTTTTCTACTGCATGTTCCACACATAAATTTTCCTCACTGTACTGTGCATGAAGACTTACAAGTGTATGGAAGATAAACAAGGGAACACGCAATCTGAGCAGCCCTGGATGGAGCCAAGGTGAAAGCGCTATTCCCACCAGGTGCCCAAAGGGGGCAGCACAGAGCTTCAGGTGCAGGTTTGGACACTACCCCAGGTGTGCCCACAATCCTTCCCGCCCTCTGAGCAGCCGAGCATTTGTGCATATGGTCTCTCCCAGATGAGCGGTATCTGTTTACCCCAAAGCACCCAGAGGTGTTGGCCTTGCTTTCTTGGTTCTGCTCTGATAGAAAGACTGCAAACTGCAGCACATGGCTCAGATAAATTAGCCTCTTCAACTTGAATAACACATGTGACCTACTGGCCCCCATGACCAAAGAACCTTAGTGTGGTTTGCACAGCACGTCTGACGGCGGGCTCATCCCCAGGAGTCAGCATCCCAGCACCGCCTCACGGCTGCGTCAACAGCTGCGTCAACACAGCGTTCGGTTGAACTGCTTTGCTTGTTCTGGCGGGGGCGGGGGCTTGTTTTCCACATTAATGAGTATTACTCAGCTTCTAGGGGTACTTCTCTTCCCTTATGGTAAGCCATATCACCTGCAGAGGGAAACATGGTTATTTTTCTACTTATATGGTTGAAAGGAAGGCAACTAGTTCATTTTTTTAACTGCTTTAGTTTGGATAAAAAAATTTTTTTTCATTTTTTGAATTTTTTATTTTTATATTGGTTTTCAAGTACCGTTTTCTGCCTTCCCCCTGTCCCTACCCCCACCTCCCTCCCCCACTTCCACACCCCCCTTGTTGTTCATTTTTTTTTAAATTATTTTATTGTTGTTCGATCCCCAAACTATGGAACACTTCACAAATGGGCATGTCATCCCCACGCAGGGGCCGCACTAACCTCCTCTGGATCGTCCCAGCTTTAGTGCAGGTGCCACCGAAGCGAGCACTAGTGCGGGTAAAGTTTTCTAAAAGGGAGACAAAGCCCCTGATGAAACACCACTTTAAGTGAATTGTCAGAAGCCTGCCCCGTGGGGTTAGGCCTTGAGAAGCGTTGAGTGTGGACACGCTGCTACATACTTTATGAAGATCCTATGACGTTCTTTCATAAATAACACCAGATCTTACCTCATTTTTTATGGCTGAAGACACTGGAGCCCGCCGGAGGAAGTGACAGTCTAATCTGACATTCACTGAGAGATTCTGATACACCTGAATGTGCACCCGGCCGTAAGTTTCCCAGGGGCATCTCTGTATCCTCAACACACGGCACGATTTTTAGCACTTAGTAGGTTCTCAAGTATGGTTCCAGGATGAGAAAATGCACGGTCCTGCTTTCAAGGAGCCTACAGTCCAGTGGGAAGGATGGATTTCAGCCCAGAGAGCCCATGCCAGACTTCCCGCCTACACAACTGTAAGACAATACATTTGCGCTGTTTTAAGTCACTAAGTCTGTGCTCATTTGTACGGAAACCTCAGGAAATTAATTCACGGTCACAGAGTCGGTTCCAGCTGTGAAAAAAAGGCTTCATTCGCTGCAGGGCTCGTTCGTGAGAAGCGAGGAGCCGGGTGTAGTGAGGGGAGACAGGGATTGCTCGTTAAATCCTCGCTGCTCCCAGTGGGGTCCCTTCTGAGAGGAACTCGTGGAAACTGGCCTCAGTTTAGACCCACAAAACGGCAGGCCCACCCCAGACCCACGGAACACAGTCAGCCTTTTGACAATATCCCCAGGTGATGGGCATGCACATTAAAGTTTGAGAAGCGCTGGGTGACATTGATTAAAAGCTACGTTAAAATGTGGAGCCACCTGACTCTTCTCTGACGCACCAGTTTGCTGGGGAAAGATGTGCACACGGACCCACAAGGAGAATGTCCGGCTGCTGCTCCTTCCCACGGACAAGAGAAGGGGCGTCTGCATGGCTCCTCCATCACGGAGAAGGCCGTCCAACAAAACCACCAGGCCCGCCTGCAAAGGACTTCCCTTCTTTCAAAATGCCCACGAGTTAAAGAACTAGAAATGTCAAACACGTCACACCTTCGAACAAATCTCAGAATCCTGGGAACACTACCCACAGCGCTGTGACGCGCGGGACATGATGACTTCATTCCGTTGCACATTTATCTCATTAACACAAACGACAGCAAGGTTCCACATTTCACATAGTATCTTAAAAGCTGCTCTAAAATCCCCTAATATGTGTTTAATGAAAATAAATTCAGTGCAGGTTAGCCATGACTACAAAATTAATACTACCAAATCATCACTAATGTCTTTTGCATTAACAGTCATCGGAAGGTGGGTAGAGAAAGCATCGAACAAAAATATGTTTCAAAAGTACACTTTATCCAGCCTTTACCTTTTTGCTAAATCTTGAGCACATCAGAAGATATTCAAGATGGGCGTAGAGATACTACAGTAATAGCCCCGATACTACTTCCAAGGTTTTGAAACACCGGCAGCAATTACACGGCGTTGCAAATGACCCCATCGGTGTGCAATGAAAACAAGCAGTGACCCAAGGAGTCTTTCTAGGTAAAAGTGTCAGGTGAAAAGGAGAACATTCACAGAATAAGTGATGGCAACCAGAATATGAAAAATTAACATCATCGACAAAGAGCTATGACTGCTCAGTGTCATTTACTCGGGTTAGATCAACGAGACTCACCGGGCGAGCCAGCTGGCCGCCTCGGGAGGGGAAGGAGCAGCAAGAGCCAGGGTCCCACTTCTGACCGACCAGCCTCCCGGCCGGGCCGTCTCACACTCTCCTGTGATGACCTCTCTCGATCGCCCTGCAGAGTGAAACACACTGAATCCACATCAGCGCTGTAGCCTGCGTCCTACACACTGCAGAAGTCAAGCCACCTTCAATCCGTCTCCTTCCGCACGGCGCACAGGTTCAGAGAGCGTCACAAGCGCGCACTTTGGACAGAGTAATGTACACCATACAGACGCAACCGGCACCTCCACTGTAACCTTTTTTAATAAATAAAAGCACATTCACAAAAATAAAAACAGCAGCACCTGGAGCCTTTGACATTTGTAAGCCAAATGTTCTAAGTGGTTCAGTTTTATAAAGTGCCAAGAAAGACCCAATTTTGACTTAACATTTTAATCCCAGTCGAGACAAGAGCTTGTCTGGATACAGTCCTGTCACCTGACGGCAGACAGCACGCCAGTCCGGCCATCCTGCAAACGTCCTGCACTTCGGAAAGCAGACCGACGCTGGAGCGCTCACCTTCGCCAGCTTCCGAACGTCCCTGAATTCTGGGTGGCCTTTTCCACCTACCAGCTGCAGCAGAACAGCCTCCCTCACAGTCACTGTGATCCCAGCTCAAGCAAGACGCTTTAAAAAAAACGGTAAAGACAAATCAAGAAGTAAGCATGCGCGTGAACACTGTATTAAAACAGCGAACAGTTAGCCAGGTAACAGAATTAATGTCCTCCTTTAAACCCGGGGTCCCCAGCCAGACCACCCAGTTCAGGGGTGGGGGCTGACTCCGGACAAGCCGCCCCACAGGCCCCCCCACCCCCCGTGGCCGCATCAGTGCTGGCGGTACGGGCCAGAGACAGTTAAAACAGGCAGCCGATGCCACGATACGGGCCAGGGACAGAAGGGAGACCAAGGCTGCCGGCTAACACAGTGACTTGCCGTTTCTTTTTTTGTCTCCAAGCATCTGACATATGCATGTGTGTCCTTCCCCTAAGTCAGGGGTCCCCAGCCTCCATCACCAGTCGCAGCCTGGCAGGAACCAGGCCGCACAGCAGGAAGTGAGCTTGCATGTAATGTGCTTGAATCATCCCGAAACCAACACCCCTGGCCCCCGCACCTGGAAAAATTGCCTTCCACAAAACTGGTCCCTGGTGCCAAAAAGGTTGGGGACAGCTGCCCCGCGTAAGAAACGGCTGCTGGTAGAACAACCTCACGTGAGGTTTCCGAACACGGTCCTGGAGGGTAACACAACCGCCACCCTGGCCACCACCACCAAGCAGAGTAGGAAAGTTGGATAAGGTTTCACTGTCTGGTCAAAGAATGTCATGTCCGTGCACCAGTGGAATCGCAATAAAGAACCAAGGACAGAAATCTCAGGGAGGGAGAGGAGGAAGAGAGTGGGGGAGGGGGGAAGGGGCAAAGAGGAGGAAGTCGGGGCAGAGCGGGAGAGGGAGGAGGAGGCAGGAGGAGAATTCTAGAGCAGGGGTTCAGTCTCCGGATGAACGTTTGTTACCGGAAACTCTAGGCAAAAGGAGGGCCGACAGTGAAGGCGAGAAACAGCCCGTGTAGGGGCCGCGGACGAGGGGCTGGTGGGAAGCACTCCCAGGCGGGACAGAGGGAAAGATGCAGGCCCGCCTCTCCCCGGAGACCAGGAGGAGACAGGGAGTTAGCGCAGCCCGTGTACAGTGCAGGTCCTTGTATTTCCAACCACTTGGGCAAAGAAGCGTGCATTATATGTGGCAAAACACGGAACCTAACTCAGCTGCATCTGTCAGTTTCTTCAAACCCTTCCTCCGGCTCACCTTCTGAGGGGCTCTGCACTTCCCGGAGAGCTGTCCCTGCAGGGCCCAGTCCCCACGGCCTGTGTCTTCTCCGCGGTGCAGCTCCGGGCCTTGAGCGCCCTGCAGTGGCCTCACATCTTCACCAGCTCCGCATGGTGGCTTTGTGGGCAGTGGGCAGGAGGGGGCCGGAGGGGGCCACAGTGGGACGAGGGAGCCCAGACGGTGGAGGGGTGGGGGAAGCGTGGGCCTGAGTCTGGCCCACCCTCCATCCGGATGGCCCCTTGCTCAAAGGACACCTCGCGCCTGCTAGCTGCAGTGGGGGCTCTGGGTCGGTACTCGGCTGGCCAAGGGGAGGCTCGGGGGCGCCAGCCCACAAGGGGCAGGGCGGCTGGGGAGCTTGCTGGGCCTGCACGGAAAACTGAAAAGCTTTTATCAAAGCACTGGGTCGGGGGGACTAATGGGCAGCATGGGGGTGCAGATGCGGCCCCTCTATCCGGGTGTGAGGCAGTGAGGGGCCTGGGCCACTGGTTGGGGGCAGGATCCCAGGCCCGAGTGGAGCCAGGAGGCAGGGGCGGACACCCCCTGGGCAGGCTCTCCTCTCAGGCTGCAGCTCCGAGGGCAGGCCCTTCACCTGGCCCCTCAGCCCACCCAGACCAAGGTCCACGCACCCCCACGCACACCCCCAGGTCCACGCACTCCCTCAGCCCACCGGGCCTCGGCCTCCTGGCAAGAGCCTGTACAAACACGAGTCCATCTCGTCAGATTCTACTGCCAATGTTTTTGAGAATCATCCGTGACCTTTTTTTAGATAAGGAAATGGAAGCTCCAGAGTCAAGGAATCCTCCCGGCCAAGGTCACAGGGCTGTGGGCTGGAGTTGGGTTCAAACTCAGGACTGTTTCAGCGCCTCCTAATCCTGCCCCACCTGCAGGGAGGTCACAACCGGGGTGTGTCTCTGCCAGTCGGAGACTCTGGTTCTAAAAGGGCCGGCCCAGCACCCTGCCGAGCAAGCTGGGTTTCCTGCTTTCCTGGAGGGGGCGGGGGACTGCAGCCCCACTCTGTGCAGAGGAGCCCTAGGGGGAGTGAGGTGTGGAAGGTCCAACTCTCCCGTCAGACCCTTGGGTGGGGAAAACCACACGACCGTCTTGATTGAGGCAACGAAATCATCCGACAAAATTCAACACCTTTTCCCGATGAAAACACCCAACAAACTAGGAAGAGAAGAAACATAATAAAAGTCTCACATGGAAAAACCCCATGGCTACTATGACAACGGTGAGAGACTGGGCCCTGCTTCGTCGAGATCAGGAACGAGACAAACACGCCCCGGCCTCGCCACTTCTGTTCAGCACCGAGCTGAGGCCAAGCCAGGCGATCAGGCAAGAGAAAACGAAGGGCGCCCCCCGGCTCGGACAGGAAGAAATACAAGGATCCGTGTGTGGACAACACGGCCTGTCAATATGTAGCAAACCCTAGAGAACACACAAATCCTTTACAGCTAAAAACGACCTCGGCAGAGTGGAAGGATACAGACCGGACAAATCAAAGTAGCTTCCTATATACTCACAATGAACAATCCAAAAAGAAAATTACGACAACTGTTTAAAATAGCACTGAAAAGAATGCAGTTCTTAGGAATAAACTTAGCCAAGGAGGCGAAAGACTTACTACACTGAAAACTACCGATCACTGCTGAAAGAAACCAGAGAAGACTTAGGATCCTAGTCTCTCATGCCTCTCCCGGGTACCACGGCCAGGCGAGCTTCACACACCGTTAACTCCACACCAAGTGTTCACTGAAGGACGGGCGAACAAGGCCTGGCGTGCTGTGCGGTGCACTGCTCCTCAGCCGTCAAAGGGGTAAACTTGGATGCGTGCTGTAGCGCAGGCGGACCTTGGAAATGAAGTGACCCAGAAGGACAAGTGTCGTGTGATCCCACCCACATGAAGAGCAGGCAAAGGCATGGACAGAAAGCGGGAGAGGGGCCGCCGCAGCCTGGGCAGGGAGTTTGGGGGGGGGGGCGGGGGCAAGGGATTGGGAGTCACCGGTGAATGGGCAAGGTTTCAGTCTGGGAAGATACTCGGGGAAGAGAGTGTGGTGACAGCTACGCAACACCGTGAAATGTACTCGATGCCTCTGGACATATGTGTGCTGACTTCGGGTTACACTGACAGGCAGCATGTAGAACTTATGATAAAATACACTGAAGTGTGTGAAGGAGAAGCCGACAGGTCGCGGACACCCACAGCCCGTGTTTGCTGGGTGGGGCGCGTTCGTGGGAGGCCTGCTTGCCTCAGTTTCCCCTGCAGTTCTGTCCCTGCGTCCGTCCGTCTCCTTACAAGGCCCTGGCTGGCGTCTCCCACCACTGACTTCCTGTCTTGTGGCACCACCAAGAAACTGGAATCTCATTTCCACAGCAAAACAACGGATGCAGAAAACGTCAAGTCGTGAGTTTATTGCATATGTAACAAAGTGAACCTGGCCTCTGGGCCCAGCCTGCCGCACGGTCGCCGGTGGTTCTGTGTTTCCAGCTGGCTCCACAGCCGCATTAAATAGAACTAGTATTTCTTTAAATACTTTTGATTTTGACATAAAACAGAACATTAGTGTACAACTTTCACAAAATAAATCAGCAATAAAAACAGTGGGAAGAATAACAAGGATAGCAGCAATACTTAAAAACAAGACATTACAAAATAAATTAAAAAATACATTATAAAGTGGTTGAGAAACAAAAATAAACAAATTTTAAAAATTCATACTATGTATGCCTGGCTGCAGACGGGTGGGCGGGCCTTCCTCTGCACCAGGCCCCTCCTGACAGCACGGATTTGAGCCCGCCCGCCCTGAACTTGGACCATGAGGCCGAGTGGGCTCAGGAGCCACGGTTCCGGCGGGCGTGCTCCCTGCAGAGGTCGAGGGAGCTCGAATGACTGGCCCCACACACGGCCCTCCGCCCCTCCCACCTACAGTGCTGGCAGAGCGGTGGTCATCCCTGAGGCTCGGCTGCTGACCGCCAGTGGGGGCAAGCCTGAAGCATCCGGGCAGAGTGGCAGGGACAGGGGGGCCGGCTGGGATCACCGAGAGGGAAGGGTAACACAGAGGGGAGCTCGCGTCAGCGGGGCTCCCACGGACCCCGAAGGGTTGAAGAAGCGGTCACCCACTGCTTGCTACACTATTCTTTGGGGTAGTTCAAAAGGCCCAAATCACCGGCAATATTTAAGGTTCCAGAAATACGGTGCCGCTGACAGAGGCCTGTTTGGCAAGAGCAAACGGGAGCTCCGGAAGGTTCTGCTCTCTGAGGCTCCTTGGTAACACAGTGGCTGAGCTGCCCAGGGCAAGTGTGAGTGAAAAAGCAGAGGCCCGGGCCTCGAGGATGGACGGGCACCTCCTGTCCCGAGGGGCTCCTGGAGGAGCCGGGACGTGGCCCCGTGTGTCCCACTGAGAGGCCATCTGATGCGGGAGTGGCATGGGGCTGGTGGCTCCTCCTGACGGCAGGAAGGTCCTTCTAAAGGGGTCACCTGCCACATTCCTGCTTCGGAGCCTCTGCTACCATCAGACCCTCCCTGGGGTACGGGAGGGCAGACCTGGCTGGTGGGGGTCGGTGCTGTTCACGTCTCTCTCAGAGGAGGGGACTCCGATGGGGGACTGGACGGATCCCTGGGGCCAGTTTCTGGAACGCCCTCGGAAAGTGTCACAGCAAACGAGACAGGAGGCGCCCCACTGCAACACAGCACACCTCTGGGAGGACAAAGCCCGGGATCTGGCCTGGACGCGTGAGTGGACGGTTTTCCCTCTGCAGCAAATCACATCCCTTCTGTCTCGAACCCGGCAGGCAGCCTGGAGGCTCGGCTCTCTGGCAGCTGTGGAATCCGCTGAATGGGACCCACCTCCATGTGGGGGGGGGTTCCAGAGAGAGGGTCTGCACGCCCCCCACATCAGACTATGGATGGCTTCAGGGGCAAGGCGAGGAAACAGCGGGGTGCAGAAGGTAAGCGTGCCTCACACCCAGCCGTCTGCAGGCGTTGGCGGTAACCAGGGCACCGACGCAGCTGGCCAAAAGCCCCTTCCAGCCCAGCTTAGACCCACAGCAGGGACCAGCGCCGACCTCAGAAGCATCAACATCGGATTTCAACAGTGGTATGTCTCTCCAATAAACAACCCTGCACTTGTCCCCAAACAAAAACAAAGAACCGGACGGGATGTCTGCGGCTGCCACCGTTTCTGCCCTGAAGGCCCACTGCCTGGAGCATCAAGCCGCTGGTTAGGACACTGCCAGGCACCTGTGTGGGAGGCAGGGCCTCGGCTGGTGGGGGATCGAGCAGCAGCTGTCGGGCCGCCACCTGACCCCGGCAACTGGCCCAAAGGTGGGGTGGGCCGGTTCCCCTGCACTGTCAGGCTCATACCATGCCCAGCTTCTCGCACACCAGTGACTCGGGGTGCACTTCGGTCACCGGGTTATCTGCTGCCCATCTCCCTTTTAACCTTGTTTGCACCAAGCCAGCAGCTGTAGTAATAGAATTTTGTTTTATTAGTTCAGCTCTTAGCAAATTTCCGCATTAATAGTTTGTTAGAATCCGAGCAAGCCAGCTGCCCTCTCCACCAGCAGGCGGCACAGGGGCCACGGCTCAGGAGCCTCGTCAGGTGGCATCTCCCCTGTAAAAATATTTCTAACTGGATAATGTGGTAAAAGGGACTCTTTAAAAAGAAAGGTCGTTTTCCTTTATGCAAAACAAAAATTTCAACCAGGATACCCTACAAAGAAGTACCCAGGGCCTTCAGCTAGAGCTTCCCCAACTCCCTCACTTTCGAAAAGAACCCCGGCTCCCTGCTGCGGCCGGGCATCGTACGGTTACTTTTCCGGGAGCAGAGTCAGCCCGCCACCCGGGGCAGGCTGCGGGGCACAGAGTCCGGAACTGAGTGGAACCAGAGCGCAGGCCTGTGGTCTGTTTGGAGACGGAAGGCTGGCGTGGTGACCAGCTGCACACCCTCCGAGGGCAAGCCCAGGTTCTGGCCCACAGGCCGCCGCCCCAGGAAGCCCGCAAGGGCAGCGAGCCTGCCAGGAGCCGCACATCACAGCCGCGGCAGGACACCCTGTGTGGCCGGGCCCCCTAAACCTGGCGGTGTCTGATTGGATGGGAGATGGAAGGGTGTGGGCGTGCTGTCTCGCAGGAGGAAACATATGGGTGGGCGCCACCAACCAAAGTCCCCCGCCCCCTCGCTCCCCCGACACAAAGGAGGGCGACGCCCCTTCCCCTCGGGTTGTCGAGAATCCAGTGCCTCGGCCCACTTCACAGGAGGCGCGCGGAAGGCGACAGGCATTTGGTCTGGTGGTCATGAGCTAGAATCTGTTGCCTTTGGTTGCTCCTCACTCCACAGCAAACCCACAGGTCTCCTCCACCGCTACCAACAGCTTCTCGTAGAGCTTTTCGTAAGACTCATAGGGCGGGATGTCGATCCGGTTGAAGCTGGAACGGGACCAAGGGGGAGAGTCACTGCTGGGGCAGTGGGGCCGGACCTGCTTCGAGGGCAAGGGCAGGCAGGAGCAGGGCGTTGGCGGCCACCAGCCAGCTGTGTGCACGTGTGTGCGTGTGTGCGTGCCCGCTGGCGTGCCCACAGGGGGCGGGGGAAAGGCAAGGGTTCCTCTCATCCCTCATTCCGGGGGGTGAGAGGTGGGGAGAGGTGAGTAGATACCCCCCACCTGTGTACTTTTCTGCTTTTAATGAGAAGATTTTTAAATCAACACACAGTAAAATAAGTCTTAAGATCTTGAGAACCAAAATAAAACCAAATTACTATTCACTGGGGATATCAGGACAAAGCTCTAACTTGTTTTCTTTGCTTTTGGTCTTCGGGAGAAATGGCTGAGCACCAGGAACACCAACTTTGCAAACTAGCACAGCCCAGACCGGCAGGCAGCTGGTCACCACGGACACTTTGCTGTGTGCCCGTCTGGTCCTTTGTGACTTAACCTGAGACCAAACAGGGCAGTCTGGAAAACTTCCTGCAGACCTAAAAAAAGCCAGACCTCTGATGGGTGAAATGGATCTTACACCTCTGACTCGATGCTCCCCTGGGGTAACCCATTCCCAATGTTTGTGCAAAGTGGATATTTCAACAAATCCAAAAACACAAAACCGTAATGACCCAGGGAACACAAAGTGGCCCTGCTGAATTTCTAAGGGGTATGCAAGCAAGGATGGTTTTTGTCAAAACCAGCTCAGGCAAAACGGTGTGGCAGCCTTTTTCAGGAGCTTTTCCTTCCGTCTCACTGCAAGCACTGCCGTGCTGGGGGAACAGAGGGCGCCTCGCCCGCGCGGGGCGGGGCTCGGCATCCACCAGGCCCAGTCCGGGTGAGGCTCAGTCAGCGCCCGAACCCACCCCCTGGCCCCCAGGTCAGGAGCCTCCCTCACAGAGCGACGTGGGGCTGGTTCTCATGACCCGGAGGCAACTGTTCTTTGGATTTTTAAACCACAAAGGAAACAACCCACCACAAATATTATTTAGCTTGAAATTTAGGGAGGATGTGTTTGTCAACAGGCAAGGCCCATCTGCCATGGGCAAAGCCCAGAGGGACCTCGGGGCCCAGGGAGGTCAGATAAAGGGAAGACAGATGAGACCCGCTTAGAGGTGACAGTTTTCCCGGTGGCCTGTGTGCACACGGCTGAGGGATGTGAGGACCAGGACATCTCGTGACAAACCCGTCTCACAGAAGACACTGCTGACAACCCTCAGATATGATACACTGCCAAACGCTTGTCCCCATGGACCCTGGCGCCACGGCCGCCAGCTGTGCCTGGGACTCAGCGCTACAGTCAGGAGCAGGTGAGAAAGTCCCACAGCGCCCTTACCAGGTGTGGGCCTTCGGGAGGTTGTCCGTGTTCGCGTCAATGAGGTGGATGGTGAACAGCCGGGGCCCTGCGGCGCCTGTAGAACCTTACAAGACAGCATTCTAGTTACTGCGCTTCAGAGGCGGAGCTCAGCCCCCTTCAACCTCCTCAGCCCCGCCCCGGGGTCCTGGGGGTCCCGCAGCAACTGCCTGGCCACCTGGAGAGGAACCCCAGACACGTGGAGAGTCACAGGCGCGGAGCAGAGGCTGGTGAGACCGCCTACGCCCCACCCTGTGGGCCTGCCCCAGCACGGGCACTTGAAGGGCGAAACCCTCCATGACCAGGGATTTTTTTTTTAAACAGAAATGTCTGGGAGGCAGAGGTGGGCCAGGGTGGAACAGAAGCAGGTCCGCAGGCCCAAAAACTCTCCAGGCAGACGTGCGATGCCTGGGGCCAATGCCAAAAAACATGGAGGGAACTCCTCTCACTCGGACCCCCTCAAAATGAGAAAGTCTAATGGGGGTAACCAGCTTTTCAGCATCTCTGGGCCGCACATTAAATACATTGTGACATACAGTAACCACAAAACAATCTCATCGTATTTTAAGTTTATGATGTTGTGTTAGGGCGCATTCTTAGCCATCCTGGGATGCACATAGCCTGAGGGCCACAGGTTGGACACCCCAATGCTCATACACAAAATATACCTGCTATCACTATTAACACGCCAAGTTCGCTTTACTAAATTTTAACATAATAATATTCTTCACCTTATTCCTCCTATCAGGGTTATCGAGCGACAGAAATCTGAAAGTCCACAAACTGCAGGGCCAGGGAGAAGCCCACAGGGCCTCCCCGCCGCTCGTGGCTGACTGTGAGCCCCACAGCCTCTCGTGAGGCACAGCCTCTGGGGCATTTACAGACTTTCCTCCCACATCCTCCTTCACCCCAGACCAGTGAGCACGGACCAGTCGGCTCGGCAGGGAGGAGAGCGTGCAGGGGCACCAGCTGGACATGAGCCTGCTGGGCAGCCCACCTGTACGGGTCAGGAGGCTGAGCGCCAGGGAGGCTGCCAGGAGCCAAGGACCCACGTGGTCTGCTGATGCCCAGGCCCGGCCCCTCTCTCCTGGACCTCCAACTGAATCCACAGTACGTTTTAAATACTCTATTTCTTTCCCCCAAACTGCTGTTCTTTGTACCTCCCCTTGGTCAACCAATCCTGCAGGAGAGGTGCTGGGCTCTCTGGCCCCCACCTCGCCCAGGTCGTTCCACACACAGCCCTGAGTGGGCACCCGGCTGGCCAGCCAGCACCTGCCGCCACCTCCGCTGCTGCTGCTAAGCCCTGGGCCCCAGGCGGGGTCCTGCCTGCTGCGTCACTGGCTCGCTGAGACGCTGGGAAAGGGGGCTAGAGAGGAGGGGCAGCCCCTCCTGTGTATTTACAGGTACTTTTCTCTCCATGTGGGCAAAGGGGAGCAGAGCCTTGGGGACTGGAAGCTGACAGAGACCATGACAACCAAGAGGCCAGCAGCATTACGAAGGGAGGAGGGTCTCCGCGGCCCCTGGGAGGAAGGACCCCTGTCATGTGAGCACTGCCACAGCGCCAGGCACTGGTGATCACAGCACATCTGTCCCACTGCTTCCGGCAGCCGTCTCGGGAAGCCACCCCCACCAGGTGTCCCGTGCCCACACACAGCGCTGAGAGCCCCGCCGCCACGTCGGTCACCTTGCAAGGCCTTGAAGCCCTGGAGCGGGACGCGCGTGGACCCCGTGACGAACTGCAGGAGCCTGGCCCTCCGCTCCTCGTCGAAGGCCTCCACGGCCTGCCAGAACCACCTGACGATGCTGCTGTCGGCCGCACAGTGCTTCAGCCGCGTGTTGGACTTCCAGTCGTTCACGTCTATTTTGTCCAGGCCACCTATTATCAGCTGGGAAGGGTTGGAGGCAAGTTACTTCTGACGCAGTAACCAGTGTTGTTGGGACCAGTGCCGCCCAGTCCCAGCAGACACCTGGCCTTGCCCTCGTAGCCCTGGTCCACCTGGGAGCCCCGCCGAGAGCCCAGGCCTGCTGAGAAGCAGCGCAGGCCTCCCCGTGCAGCCAGGCTGCGCACTGAAAACGCACGCCCTGCTGGAGCCCTTGGCCATCACTGGGCTCAGCCAGTTGAGCGCATACCTCTAGTTCCTTCTGGTCGAAAGGCTTCAGTAAGTGCTGAGGGATGAGTTCGTTAAAGCCTTTCTGAAGAGCCAAGAACTGGGCTTCGATTCCTCTCATAAACCTCCAGTTGACATATAACCTGGAAGAAAAATTCACACATTGGGAGCAACACCAACGGTTCATGAAGAAATGGTTTCTCCATTAATAGGTTCTGCTGAGTCTAATTCCTTGCTCACCCAGCTTCCTTGAGATGCAGCCGACAGCAGCACCCGATCCAACTTACAGGCTAAAATAAACCACGCAGGGTCTTACTGACTTAGATGCATGGCTAGAAACGGCGGCAGGATCCAACCTGACCCGTCCCAGCGACTGTCACGATGTGGAAGCACCGTGTGGTTGAAAACAAAACACAGGACCCCGGGAGCCCAAGGTCAGAGGGGCCCGTGTTTGCAGATCCCCACGGTAAGCAACCAGCCACTCACTGCCCTGATTTGAGGTGGGAGAACAGACTACACTGCAGCGGGCGTCTTGGAGACTGGTCTCAAGGGACTTCTGGGCTAGTCTGCCCCCTCTCTCCTGTGCTCTGGTATCATCACACTCAGAATGGCGGGGGGGGGGGGGATTGAAAGTCTGCCCCCCCACTGGGGCTCCACGGTCCTTACTCTCCCTTTGCCAGGTCAGCACTGGTCCCATCAGGGCCTCGCGCCACACAGAGCTCCTACCGCTGACCCGACAGTGTCAGGAAATCTCTTCTATAAGGGGACTCTGGTCACAAGTGCTGGCAGGGACAGGTAAGCCACACACGGCAAAGGGGCCTCCGCAAGCAAACATGAACCTGGCAGCGACTCACAATAGCCCTGGCACCGGGCGCCCCCCCCAGTGACCACCAAGGCTCCCCAGAACATTACCGGACGTATTCTTTCTTGTTCTCCTCTGTGACGGGGACATTTCTGCCGTTGGGCTTCAGTTCATGCTGAAGGATCCTCCCGAAAGCGTTGTGCTCCACACAGAAAGTGTGGTCCAGCACAGGGGTGATGTCGTTCTCTCTGGTGAGGTTAGGACAGAAGACAGGGTCAGACCTTTGCCACCGCACGGCAGGGAATGAAACGTCAGGTGGAACAATCCAGCGGAGAGAGAGACAGAGAGTCTGCTGACCGCCACACCCAGGGAGGCGCCGCGGGCGGGCACCAACCCCAGTTCCACGTGTGTCCCCGGCTCTCTGTTTCCCCTTTCGGGGGCCGGAGGAGGGGGGACAGTACCTCTACCCACCTATGACAAGGCACCCGGTTGCTTTGAAAACAGTCTACAAGCAGAAAAGCGGGAGACATGAAAAAGCAGGCCCACTGGGAAACACCGTTCCCCTCCTGGGGCGGCCTCGTCAAGTCACAAGTTCAAAGAAGCCCTTGAAAGCGAAAACTGGCTCCTTAATCTGCCTTATTTCCTGAAATGGAGTGAGAGACTCCCTACGGGATGAAGTTCCTGGGCCTCCGCAGATGACCCATTTCAAACTGGGACACGCAAGTGAAGCTGGAGGGACACAGGACGCAGTCGAGAGGCCTGCCTCCCGTCCACTCGTGGGCTCGCCCCCCGTGAGACTGACCCGGGGGCACCTGCGTCTGCCACGGGGCGGGGCCTGCTGCTCTGGAGTGTTCAGGACGATTGTAAAAGAAGGCGACCGAATACTGATTTTGCTTTAATACTGTCTTGTATCAAAGTATTTGAAACAAGATACTACTGTGATACTCGTTTTGTTTTCAGTACCTTCCCTCTGGAGATTAACTGGTGACGCTTTCGTGTCAAAACCCAACCAACTACCAGGCCTCGGGATTAACACAAATGTTAATAATTCAAGGAAATAACAAAAGGAACTGGTCCATGAAAAGAAGCTGGACAAACATCATGAGGAAAACAAGTCAACTATTTTTTGTTAAACCTATTTTTGTATTTCTGATCACGAAACACTAGTTTCTTGACTTCCCTTCTCCAAGTTCACATCCACTCCCACACGAACACACACACTCAGAGCACAGACGTCTTCTGCGTCCCTGGGATGAGTGCGAACGGCAACTCAGTACTTACAGAATCCACACTAAGCTCTTGTGCAGTTCGGGGTCCACCGACTCCAGGTCGGAGAGCTGGATGGGCTTCCCCAGTAGCTGCTTGTAGAAGGGAACCGTGAAACCCCCGTTTATGTAGTGTCCGTGGAACACAGCCAGACCCATGATGCGCCCCACAAAGTGGAAGTAAGACAGATGGTCCTGTAGGGGGCACCAGAGAACACAGATTCATTTAAAGAAAGGGTCCTGGTGGTTGGTGGCCACCTCTCAGCTTCTTGGAAGGAGTGCCCCACTCAGTAACTCTACAGAGCATTTTACTTGCTCTTAGTTCAAACACCTTTTCCTCTGAGCTGCTATGTAATTTGGGGGACCCAGTGCAAAATGAAAATGCAGAAACCCTTATTCAAAAAATGAAGATACTCTGGTTTCTCTTCAGATCCCATAAATCTTTTGCCTTTTACAAAGAATTATTAAGAGTTCTAACATGGCAACAGCAGAGACCAAACCAAGCCCCGCCCCCTCGGTGGGCTGGAGCCCACAGGCAGGGTGGCACCCCCCCCCCACTGCACTGAGAAGAAATAAATCAAAAAGGGCAACTCCCCTTCTTCCTCTGCCCACGCCCCCCCCCCCAGTCCCAGAGGAAAGAAGGAAATCAAAGGAGGGAGTAAAGAACAGAGAGGAAAATAAGCATGAACAATCCAAGTAAAAGAACCATTTAAAAACCAGAGTTCTCTGTTTTTAAAAAAAAAAGGATTTTCTTTATTTATTTATAAAGAAAGGGGAAGGGAGGGAGAAAGAGAGCAAGAGAAACATCAATGTGCAAGAGAAACATCGATCGGTTGCCTCTTGTACAGACCCAACCTGCAACCCCGGTGTGTGCCGTGACTGGGAACCGAACCTTCCACTTTATGGGACAAGGCCCGACCAACCGAGCCACACCGGCCAGAGCCAGAGCTGACCGGTTTTGAACTTAAAGAGGGAGCCTCACTTTTCTACTCTTGGGTTGGAACCATAACCAGGTGACCAGTTGCAGCCCAGTTTCCTGTGGGGGCGGCTCCGTCACACCTGAAGGCTTGCAGAGCAGAGCTGGGCCAGAATGAGTGGCCACAGGACACGGCCCCGCGGGAGAGTGGGCCTCGGCCGGTCGCCCATTTCCCCTCCTCTAAGACAAGCAGCAGCGAGTGCAGCACTGCTGGCCACGGAGGCCACGCTGGGAATACTGCGGCTTCGACTGGGCGGAGGGCAGCTTCGCTAGCAGGAGCCACTTCTCAAAAAGATAGATGTGGGCGCCGCCCCAGAGTCCCCTTGCGGGGCAGCGAAGCGCTGAGTGTACCGGCAGCCCAGGGCTCCCCACCTCCTCCGTGAGCCCAACACACCCAGTGGCCCTGTCACTAGGAACTTGGGTGGAAGTCGCCTTGACCCAGGGCTCACTCCACCGCTCGGTGTTCTGTGTACCGCAGACCCCAAGTCAGTCCTCGGTGAACAAACCCAAAGCCGAGGCCGAAACCAGAAACCCGTTAGAAAGAAGGCCCGACCTCTCCACTCACTCACACTTACAGGGTTGATGGACGAGTCCGGGTTGATCTGCAGCGTGTAGATGTTGTCCGTGGAGTACTGGAAGAGCCCGTAGTACGGGTTCAGCATCTCGTGGCACAGCAAGTAGAGCCACTCCCTACGAACAACAGCAACAAAAAACAAAACACTTTACATGTGCTCGCATTTCTAGGTCTGCATCATAACAAGGACTGGGTGGGCAGAAGCCAGCACCGGTACAAACCCCGGGCTGTGCAGACGCGGTTTGTGTAGCTCGGGAATATACGCCTAGAGAGGGGGAAGCTCGCTCTGAGGGCATCAGAAATGGTCTTTCTGGCCAAAGTGCAACAGCTCTCAGCTCGGAAAGAGCTGTGGGCGACCAGAGTTACTTGTCGGGGTTTTCTCAGCTACTTTGCGGCAGAGATCAGAAGCTCAGGTGATGAAGTTAATGATGTGGTTATCACTGATGAAAGCGCAATACAAAGCAGTATGATCCTACTTTGATTTTAAAAGTGTGTGTGCACGCACACACACAGAACAAAAACCACAGCCAGAGCACACACAATGGGAAGGACTCACGCAGCAGCTGACTTGAGAATTAGCATGCCGGGGCGTTTTCATTTTTTTTCTTTTGCTTTCCAGTTTTCAAATTTCTGATTGATTGTAACATATAATAATGTTTAAATAAGGAGAAAATATTCCACAGCCCAGGGAGGCAGGGAGTAAGAGTGGCTTTTCCCCTTCCTAAGTTTTTGTCCTACTGAACTCCTTTTTTTGCCATTAACACTTACCACTTTTATCATTAAAAAGCTAGTTGAAAACTTATATATTAATTCTAGGAATTTAAAAATCCTTTATGTTTGAATCATTTATATATTTAAAAAACCCCAAATCAAAAATAAATTTAAAGAGCGCTCTAAACGGAAGCCGCATGTTCTGATCGCTGCGGCCGGGCTGCGCGAGGCCCGGGTGTGGGGAACGGAAACGCCGTGGCCGTTCTGGCTGCAGCTTTTCACTCTTTCCATTCCAACTCCTTTCAAAGGGATACATCTCATTAAGGTCACAGCCCCAAATTTTATCCTGGATTTCTTTACTCTTTCAAATAGAAAAGATGGAGACTTGAGAAAGAACAGCAAAGGACAAGCACAAATGAGAATAATCGAAGAAAACTGTGAGAATTCACAAAAAAACAGGCCAGAACCAAATTAACGTCTCAAACTCCAAAGGCCAGAAAGGCCCCGCCGGGCAGATGGGACTCCAGACACTGCAGAGTCTCCAGACCAGGAAGGCAGGGTTTCCCAGTGACCGTCCTTTGATTCACCCCCAAGTCTGGGGGTTTGGAGTTGAGAAGACAGGGACCTGCAACTGTCTAGACAGGAAGTGACTAAAACACAAGCAAACATTCTCACAAAGCCATGGACCAGGAAAGGGGGATACTAGGAATGTTCCAGAAGTGGGAAGGGAAGAAAGAGCGACACTGGCAGAGGAGAGAACAGAAACAGCTCGGAACTGAACTCTGGGAAACGGGTGCAGACCGGCTCTCGGGGAGCAGAGGGTGAGCACGCACACGCGTGACTTCAGCCCCTCCCTCCTGTCCAGACAGGCGTGCTCCCATTGGACCTGAAGAGGAACCAGAAGGCTGACCCGGCAGCGCAAGGTCCAACCAGAGGAGGCAGAGCCTGGGTCAGCAGCTCCTACTGCCGGGGCCCCAAGTGACTTGAGGAAGCCACCAGGCCCATCGGCATGTGCAAGACTCAGTAACATGGAAAGTGCAGAAGAACAGAGCTCCTGCCAAACCAAACCGGGCTACTCACACACATGCCTAGGACTATAAAACACCAGCCATGCACAGAAGTAAAGGCGGACTGAAACAGTCTGAGACACTGAACTCCTGAGACATCCTGAGACTGTAAAGGAAACAGCGCAGGCGTGGGAGTGGTCCGATCTGCATGGTGGGCACAGACACGGGTGACTACGTGGCCAGGTCTGCACTTGGAGGGAGGGGACCGAGAGCCCACATGGGCCCAGAATCAGAACTCGCTGCCTCGGGCAGACAGAATTCATGCTGCCAAAAGGAGGGGCCTCTAGAATCGAGAATGGGGAGACCGAGGGAGCAACTCAGGGCGGTCTTGGAAGGAGAAGCACTTCCTGTGGACGGCAGCACCCATGTGGGCTCGGTCAGGAAAACACAGGCTTTTTCCCGCACCCTCGTCCCAGACAGCTCAGAACAACCAAGCAGCAGCAGGAGGGTGGGGTGCGGGGGAGAGGGCCGGGGAAGTTAGGGGAGTGGTTCTGTTCTAGGACCAGAAGATACATCGGGACTTTTTTCCTCTCGGTTCTTTTCTCTCGGCTGCAGAAAAAAATCTCAGCCCTAAGCCCTAGCTGGTGTAGCTCAGTGGATTGAGCGCAGGCTTGCGAACCAGACAATCGCAGTTCAATTCCCAGTCAGGGCACATTCCTGGGTTGCAGACCAGTTCCCTGCAGGCCAGTTCCCAGCAGGGGACGCACAAAAGGCAACCATACATTGACATTTCTCTCCCTCTCTCCTTCCCTTCCCCTCTAAAGATAAATAAATAAAATCTTAAAAAAAAAAAATCTCAGCCCTGCCCAGAAACCAAACGAGGCTGTGTTGTGTGATGCTTATTGGGACATAATTTTGCTCGGGGAGCTGCTGCAAGGCAAAGGACTGGCCTATGCTTCCTGCACTGTGATGCCCAAGGCAGGACCACTGTGACGTGCCCGCTCACGCTGTGCACCCTCCTTGGCCACATCCGCCAGGCTCAGGGGCCCACACTGGCTCCTGCGATTCTCTGTCACCTGAATCACATCAGACTGGAACCCCTTCCACAGCGGGTGCAGAGGGCACAGGGGGCAGAAAACACGTCACTGTGCTCCCAGCTATCTTCCTAGCACATGGCAGAGACTCCAGACTTGCAAGTTAATGAATAAACATAGTGATTACAGGGCATACAAACTATAGGGGAATTCTCCTTCAAGAAGATTCAGTCACACGATAGGCACCACTTCACTCTTTCACTTCATAGTTTATCACAATAAAATTTAATGAGTAACTAAGCTATGGTGATTTAAAAAAAAAGATAAAAATGCTGAAGCACTGGGAGAGAAGTTGAGATCTCCGGGAATTGGGGGTGGGCAGGGAGGCATAGAGAAAAAGCTAGGATGGAAAAGCCAGAAGATGACAGACATAAAGGATCAATCCCGGGAACCCAACATTGGGGTGGCAGGCATTTCAGAAAGACTAAAGCAAGGAAACGGGCGGGGGGGGGGGGCACAGAGCAGTCAACCTCGCTCACTGGGCAGATGTCGGCGGAGCCGAGCACTCGCCAGGTGTCAGGCCCTCTCTCAGGAACAAGACCAAGCCCCGGACCACAGGCGTGTCTGCTGACAACCAGACAGGAGCAGGGGCTCACCCAGACCACACGCCGGGGGTTAGCGCATCTGTCGGGGAAGGCCTCTCTGAGGGTGACCCGAGCACATGGAGAACAAGCCACGTGACATCCTGGGGTGAGCTCCAGGCAGAGGGAACACTGAGGGCGACGGCCCTGAGGCCTGACACACCAGTTGGGCAGCGGGAATGGTAGGAGGGAGCAGGGTGGCGAGGCTGCCGGCCACGGGACAGGGCTTGGGTGAGAAGCCACGGGGCAGTCGGGTGGGATGGGAGGCCTTTGGGGCTTGGGTTCAGGGACAACTCGGCTGAGTGTTTAGAAAGATCACACCGGCTACGGCTGCTGCTGGGAGCTGCTGCTGGGAAGCAGCCTGGCCCGTTGAGATGAGTGAGGCAGCAGGAAGGTAAGTGAAGGGACAACAGCAGCAGGCGAGAGGGAGGCAGAGGGGCAGAGCCTGAGGTGGGGGGGGGGGAGATGCAGGGGGCGGGAATCTTCAGAGGGACCACAAGGCTGGGAGGTGAGCTAAGTCCCGGGAGAGTTAAGGGTGACTCCACAATGGGAACCAGAGGAACCGAGTGGGGCCACTCGGGGAGGCGGGCAAAGACTAGCGAGGAGCTGGTATGAGAGGGGAAGTTAGAAATTCTGGACGGTTAAGTCTAAGATGCTTTAAAGATACTCAAGGAGAGACAAGAGGTAGCTGGGTAAACAAGGGTGGGGTTGAGGGAAGAGATACACTGGCGCAGCATCGGGACGCAGACAGCGCTGAAAGCCGAGGGACCGGGCAGGTGCAGCCCAGGGGCACAGAGGGCCCTCACTCGGGACTGAGCTGGGAGGCAGGTGGAGGGTCAAGGGAAGGAAGGGAAGGCAGCCACAGGAAACAGGCCTGGGGGCGAGACAGAGGGAAAATCAGGATTGATGTTTGGGGGGCCAAACGCACAAGCTGTTTGGAGTAGCGCCAGCTACTCCAGTAGGGAGTGAGCGCCACTGACAGACCGGGGGAGGCAGAGGCCCGGGAGACACCAGTGGGTCTGGGGAGATGGGGCTCGTGGGCGCCCTGACCCGAAGAGCTGCAAAGGGCAGACGGGTCGTTCGGAACAGGTTTGAGGGAGAGTGGGGGTGTGGGAGCAGGAGCGGGGGTGCACACGGGTCCTAGGAGGGGTTCTGCCACACAGGGGACAGGGACACGGGGCTGTGACGGAGAGCTATGCATCTCGGACACATTTCTGTGTGTCCTGGAGGTGGAACTGTCTTTGCTTTATCATCTTTATTGCCCTCTTACAGCCCAGGCAGGAAGGGGACATGGTGTCCAGGGAAGGTGTGGAGGGCACGCTGGCTTCTTTTAGGAAGGGAATCGTTGCGGCACATTTGTATGTGGATGGGACTGGGCCGAGAGAAAAGGGCGTTTTGAAGACAGGAGGCGTGTGTGAAAGGAGAGTAGAGGCGAAGGGCCTGGGGCGCACTGGCCAGGCCGCAGCGGGCAAGGCGAGCCCGCGGGCGCAGACCCGGGCTGGCGGGATGTTTGCTGGTGCTGAGGAGAGACTCCAGTTAAAAAGGCAAAGTCAGCAGCTCAGAGTGGTGCTGGGGGAAGGAGACTGGGGGTCCGACAGAGAGCACAGCAGAGGAGCGCGGGCCAGGGGGCTCAGCTGGCTGGAGCGCCATCCTGTCCAGTGAGAGGCTGCCCGTTCTATCCCAGGTCGGGGCACGTACAGGAGGCAGACAGGTGACGTCTCTGTCCCTCCTCCTCTCCCCTCTAAAGTCACTGAACACATTCCTGGGTGAGGATTTGTAAGAAAAAAGGGAGAGAACAGGAGGAGTGACAAGAGAACTGAAACCTCCTTGAGGGTGTGGCCCCTGATGTAGAGAAAGGCCAGCAGTGTGGAAATGTGTGTTGATTTTTAATTCTTAAAAATAAAAGGCAGAGCCTGGCTGGTGTAGCTCAGTGGATTGAATGCGGACCTCCAAACCAGAGGATCGCGGTTGGATTCCCAGTCAGGGCACATGCCTGGGTTGCAGGCCAATTCCCAGCAGGGGACTCATGAGAGGCAACCATACATTGATATTTCTCTCCCTCTCTCCTTCCCCTCTAAATATAAATAAATAAAATAAAATGTTTTTAAAAAACAATACAAGCAAATTAAAAATAATAATAAATAAATAAAAGGCGGACAAACATGAGATACTTAGTTCTGGATACAAAACAGAATATAAGTCTTTTTTTAAAGATTTAATTATTTTTAGAGAGGAAAAAGGAGGGAGAAAGAGAGGGAGAGAAACATTAATGTGTGGTCACCTCTCCCACAACCGCTACTGGGGACCTGACCCACAACCTAGGCACGTGCCCTGACTGGGAATCAAACCGGTGACCATTTGGTTCACAGGCTGACACTCAGTCCACGGAGCCACACCAGTCAGGGCCAGAATATAAATCTTAACCTCGACATTTTACAAGTAATATCGCAGGTGACAGAAGGTGAGACAGAAATGGTGGAAAGCATGCTGAAGGGGAAGTCAGGGGTATTAATTACTATCCTTTTCTTAGGAAAAATAAGAGGTCAAGAGATAATGCCTCCAGTTGATGAACCAAAAAACCATGGCAAAAACACATTATGCGAAGTTACGAAGATGACGATTGAGAAGGTCTAAAAATATTGATATTACTGAACAGGGAATGGGAGTGTTAAATCCTTACCACAATCACTGTCCATCCAGTTTACCTGTGGCTGGGACCATAAGCCATGAAATCAATAGATATCTGAATTTGGTCAATTTGGTGATACAAAGATATCTATTAGATTAAACAGTTGAAAGAGCAAAAACAGCATTATCTTAAAGGTGCCAGGAGGTAAAACAGGAAATAAAAGCGTTACATTATTATATAGCCCATTAAAAACGGTTATGTCAGTAAATTATTTGACCAAAGTTTCGTTTTAAAAAATTCCTTTGACACAAATGCGATGCCCCCACCTTCTCCCAGGCGTGGCGGCCGCCCTGCTACCATCAGAAGCCAGCCCTCCGTGGTTTGGGGTCCGTGGTTCCGGAGGAAGAAGGGGCCATGCATGGAAGCGTGACCCTCACTTTATACAAAGTAAGTGAGCGGCGAGGGCCACGGGCATTCCGACGGGTCGGCACGCTTGGCCTAGGGAGCTCGCCAAGGAGGCACTGAAGCCCTGACCGCTCCAAGGTGAGCACGGAAGGGAGGTGGCAACCGCCCTCTTTCTGTCAATACTTCAGCACGGCTACACGGAGTCCACGCGGGAACGAGGGGGGGAACAAATCGGCGTCTCACCTCGCCACGCCGCCGTAATCCAAACCTTCTTCCCCTCGGAACTTCACCATCAGTCGCTTTTTCAAGTCTTTCGGTCGCATCTTCATTATCTGGCGATAAGACTCCTGTATGTCAAAGTGACAGTTTCAGAGAGAAGAACTTTTCTTACTCTTAATGTAATAAAAAAGAAAGGGCATTGATAATGGAGCCTGATTCAAAATAAACATTCATTCAAAGCCAAGTTCTATCTGGTTTCTTTTCGGAATGTTCACACAGCATGGGGCAAAAGTAGGTTTATAGGGGGTCATACAGAAAACTCAGTAATTAAGAAATGAAAATGGGAGAATAAACGCTGTGTTCTGCTTCCTCACAACTGCAGACCTACCTTTGCCCCGCCTGCACCCGTCGACGTCCCCCCCCAGTTTCTGGCTCACAAACCCCAACAAAACGCAGGCACGCGGTCGGCATGCACGCCCGTGACTCGGGGGCGGGGGAGCCTCCTCGCTAGAGCGGGCTCCCATGGGAAGCAGCTCCGGTGTGTGCTGTGTGCACTGCGTACATTTTGGCCCAAACGAAGACAGCACTAGGGAGTGAAGGCTGAAAGACCCCGAGCCTGTTTTCACATCTGAAGTGAAAAGTTGCACGACTCCCACTGAGTCCAAAGCAAGAAGACGCAGAGCGTCTAACCCAGAATGCAGAACACAGGGCCGGCCCGGCACTCCCGCAGTCGGCGTGCTGAGTAGAGCTGGCTGAGCGCCTGCAGAGCTTCCAGCTCATAGGGCACTTCGGAATCTTTCCCCGCTCTACATTTAACATAACTCCAACTCTGCAATCCCGAGCGGGAACGAGGAGGTTGAGTGGAAATGGTCTGGCAGCAACATGTCAATAGCTCAGCTCCCTTCTAACCCTGGCAACCATCTAAGACAGCTCAACGGGCCACCCGGCACATCGGGGGACCCACTCGTCCAACCCTGGCTGCCTGCGGGCACTGTGCCCGGCCTCTGCGAGGGGAGGAGCCGTGCTCCCTGTGGCCGGCACCCAGCCTCCCTCGGGGGCTACGAGCCAGGGAGGGCCTGCGCTTCGTTCTCGCCCGCCCCCCTTCCCCAGAGACAGGTCACACCTGCCAGGGATGCCACAGAGCCGGCTGGCTGAGGTCCCACACAGTGGGGACTCTACCTCCCAATTGTGTCCTTCAGACATGGGCCCTGTCTGCAAGAGGGTCCTGCCTGTGCAGGGACCCTGATCCCAGAGGAACTGCATGAGGGGCAGGGTGCTGCCAGGCACCATCTGATCTGCCTGCTTCCCGCAGAGATGACGAGGGGCGGCTCGGCCACTGAGCGGCAGGAGGCAGTGCCGCTCGATCGTGCCAGGCCGAGCAGAGGGAACGGCCGGCTCTGGGGCACGGCAGACCGTGGGGACCGATGACCAGTGTGACGTGGGGGAGCAGTTTACAGAAAGGACTCAGCTGCACTTTCCGGGTATATCTCCGGGTTTTCCCCCCAGATACCATCTGAGCTTTTCCATTTTTACCACAAGGGAAACAGTTTCCTCACTACATGGGCACCAGTCCTGACAAAACCCTGCATCTCACAGAGCAACAAACCCAACACCAGAAAGAGCAAACAGAACGGAAGGCTCGCTGAAATGCAGGACCGCTTCCAGAGCGGCCCCTTCCAGCACCTGAGAAACCGAGGGCCCTCGGGGCGGCGTCCCCCGGCCACACCGCCTCTGTCGAACATGAACGCGGTCTCTGCCTGACTGTGTGCTGCGCTACATCCCGTACCTCAAATATCTCCTCTCTGGAGACTTCGATGCGGCAGTGGCCAGCCTGAGGCTGCTGCAGCGACAGCTCATGCCTGAGGACCTTCAGCTTCTGAACCAGGTCCCTCTCGTACCTCTGGGCAGGAAGCTCCTCGTCCTCCATGGAGCCCTCGCTGGGCAGCGGCAGCGGCTGGCTGGGCTCCTTGAGTTGGCACTGGTGACTTGAGAAGGACAGAGCATCCAAGTCACTCCAAAAGCAGTGGCCAGTGGGCTGCCTGCACACCACCCACACCAAGGGGAGAAGAGGGCACGTCACATGGAGCAACCAGCAGGCGTTTTTCTCTGTGATGCACAGATATGCAAACGCTGCTGGTGAACACCATTAGCCCGAACTGGTCTAGGGCACAGCGCAGGAGCGACCCCACTCCCCAGCAGCCGCTGCCCTCGCTGCCCTCGCTGGGGCAGCAGCTGCTGTCAGTCACTGCTCTGCGCCCCGGACTGACCAACACACTGGGGACGTGCCTCAGCGGACAGCGTTAAATGGAACTGACGAGACCCGTTTTAAAAACAGACTGCAGTGGACAGGGGCACGAGAGCCAACAGCTCAGTGACATCGAGGGTCATCCGTCCTCATTCTCAGAACCAACAAACTGCCACACCCACCCGTTAAAGGGGTATTTCAGTGAATGGAAAAGACTAGGACCACCTGAGGGACAAAGCAGTGTTTGTCTCATCCGAGTCTTGCTGCTAACGTCAGCTGTCAGTGGGAAGAGCCACGGGGGAGCTCGTGTTCCAAAAACACACCTGGGGCACACCGCAGGAGCTGAGACGATGCCCAAGTCCCAGTCGCCAGGAGTGACAGGCACGGGAAGAGGGACGAGTGGGCACTGAGGGGGACCTCACGCTCCTCGTCTCACTCAGGAGCCGTGTGTCTCACCACAGGACTGCGAGTGGAAGCCTCACTAGTGGACCTGCCTGGTCCTGCCTCTCGGGGACTTTCGCTTTGGCTGCGGGCACCAAGAGGGCAGCAAGAGCAGCGAGACGGGGCTTCGGTGCTGCTCCCGCTGCCTCGGGGGTTTAAACATGCAACTGCCCACCGAACAGTTACCATAGTTGGCTTGTGCTTATTCTCCACTAACAAACAATAGAGTAGATAAATTAAGAAAAATATTAGTAGAAAACATTAAGCAATAAATGTAAGAAGTCAACAAAGATTGTGTAAAGTCTTACTTCATGATGTGGTGTAACCTTGGGTCTGTAAACTGGGTTGTTCGGTTATTGTGGTCTACAAAATAAATCCTCCCAGAAACTGTACTTCTGACTTCCCAGCCCGGCGGCAGTGGTCCAAGTTCATCACAATTCACACTATTAAGGTCTCTGCCAAAATGGAAGATACGGGGAAGTTTGTCCATCTGAGTATGGAGGCACACAACCAAAACTTCAGCAAGACGAACCACGGGAGTCCCTATCAATGTGGCCACGTCCCAGTCCTGCTAAGAGGGACAGTCACAGTGCTACTGACGCCAAACTCACACTGAACCCAGGTGTCTGTGCTACAAGTGGCAGCAAAATCCGCCAGATAAAAACGAAGCCCTCAGAGCCCGTGACCACGAGAGGGAGCAGCACTTCTCAGGGAGCAGCGGCCGGCCGGGAGGCAGCACGGAAGGCTGCGCAGGGCACCGCACCCCAGGCCAGAAAGGGCCAGACCGGCAGCTTCAGGAGTGAAAAGCCCCAGACGATGCAGGGCCTCTAACGCTGACGGGAGCACAGGACCCGCCTCCGGCATCTCGCAGTTCTAAACTGCTGCTCCGGGGAGAGGCACTCCCATTCTTCAGTGGGCTTTGGTAAGTGTTTCTAATTTCAGCCTCCTGACTGATTACTTCAATTCGGCCCACAGCCGTCTGAGAGCGCAGCGCTAGTGACCAAGGTGCCTGTCTAATGAGCACAGAAGCCTGGCCTTTCGGACTGTGGGGACTGAAGAGGCACCTAATCCACCTGCACGTAGGAGTTGCAGTCTAACTGTAGGTTCCAGATCTTAACTTCGACACAGGCTGGAAATCAAAGGCAGGAGGCCTGTTCTCAGATGAAACAAATTATGAATAAAAAGAAAATGAGCATTACTAAAAATGTTATTAGGTAGTAATACCACTCTAAATTTTTTTTTTAAATGTAAAGAAGAGCAAAGCAAAGAGAAACGGCACTCGGTCGTAGGGTGGGGTGAGGCGCTCTCTGACCTGGGCTCAGGTCAACCGGCCTCCTGGAAGGAGTCGCACAGAAAAGCTTCCTCCTCTGCCCCCAAGTGCCGTCCCTCCCACCCCCGGGACTGAGGCAATAGGGACAGTACAGAAGACAGAAGGGGCAACAGAGGTTTTGTATTTCCTTTTTATCACTTTATTACAGAAAAGTTAAGCATATAAAAAGGTAGAGAAACCACAGTGAATAATCAGCTTTGATTATCACATCATCGTCAACCTGTTTCAGACATGACCCTCGGCTCACTGCCCCACCCCGAGCATTTGAGGAAATCCCAGATGCCATATTATTGCATCCAGTAAAATTTGTAGCTTAAAAACTGAGAACCCATCTTGAAGAGGGGAGGCCTTTTAGGGTCACGTGCTCTGCTCTCCAGATTCAGGACTGCTTTCTAAAGGACTCTGGTGCCAGCAGCTGCCGCCGGACCTGGTGGAGGGCCCGGAGGTGGCGGCACAGCCGGGACGCACCCAGAGAGCCCGAGGCCAGACCCTACGGCAGGCCTCTCTGCGCTGCTTCACGTCCAAGCTCACATCTTCTACCCTGAGGGGTCCAGTCGGGGCCGGGGCGGCGCAGGCAACCACTGGAAAACTGGCCGTGGTGCGCGTTTGAGACACCTACCTTGGTATTCGGGGGTCGTGCCACGTGCTAACTCCGGTCTGTGTGTGCAAAAAGTAAACTTGCCCCTGCACCGTTGTCCTTTGTTCTGTACAAGAAAGTGGGGGTTGCAATTAGTTACATTCAGTCCCAAGGAGAGTTTTCCATCAGTCCTCTGAGCACAGAGTCGAAGCTTCCCTTCAACAGTTTAAAATCACCCAGATAAGGGATGGGGAGAGCAGTGGGGTCGCAAACCCCACACAAGCATTTGGGCCTGTCACACGCGGGCGACAGCGCTCTTGTCAGCCAGAGCCCTGGACTGGCTGCGGTCTGTGTGTCCCCCACCTCGGCCCCCACCCCACCTTGACCTCTGTCACCTTCACGTGCTCTCTGTCTGGTGTGACCTGCCACACCCACGCCACACTCCTCCCTCGTTAGGCTCCCCCTCCGCAGTTGTCCAAAGACCCCCCCCCCGTGACCTCTTCCGTCCACTCTCCCCCTCCTGCCCCTCCACGGTCAAACCACAGAGCACCACACGCCCCTCAGCCCACACACCATCCTGATCTTCCTGGACATGCACCTGCCTAAAATGTCCGCCCGACCGCTACACTGGGAGCCTGGTGCAACTGCTGACCTGTTCGTGACGCACAAGATTTATCTTTTCCCACCTTGACCGCCTTGCTCCGGTCACGCGTCTCTACACCGACAGCCGTCGCACACACAGCCCTGCAGGCGCCGTAAGGGCCTGCGGGGTCACGGCTCCACGAAACCTCACAGAGAGCGCTCAGGGAGCGGGCGGGTTCTCTCACCGTAACCCTCAGGCAGCTCTGGTGACTGGTGGCCGTGAGGCCGGTTCTGCGGCGTCTGGAGGGACCCGCGGATCTCGGGGTTTCGAAGTCGCTGTGCCTGCAGTCTCTGATCCTGACTCGGGGACTCCCCGAACCTGCAGTTCCCGCCCCCAGCAGCAGCACCGGTGCCGTCCGTGTAGGGGGCGGGCTCCTCCATGAAGCAGCTGAGCGGCCGTCCGGGCCCCGAGTCCTCGCACACGGTCCTGAAAGGGGCAGGGCAGGGCACGCGTGGGCATGCCGGCCGGGGACGGCCCTGGCCTTTCAGCTCGGGGCTCCCCCGACCGTTTATTCTGCTTCTCTTCAACAATTTACAGTGTCCCAAGTGCTTAGCTTCTTAAACCCATCCCACCTCGTTTACATAGAAAGACTTTTTCTCGGAAACCAGAGGCCGAAGGGAGGCACAGGCGAAGTGCCACTGAAGCACCCTCGGGATGTCACTGGTGGGGAGAGTGGACTGACTGCAAAGACCATCCTTGGGCTCTAAGGAGCTTGTGAAGTGAGATCTGATCTCTCCTTATTTAAAGTCAAAGTCAAATACTCCACGTTCCTTTTTATTTTCCTCTTTAATAAAACTCCTGGTTGCATAAAATGTTGCAATGACTTTCAAACACCTTCTTCACCCTGAGCACCTGTGAAGACCATCTACCCTAACTGGCTGCTTTCCCATATAAGTGATGCTTCTGAAACCAGCCCCAACAGTTTCCCCTCACGCCCTGAAATAATCCAGCATATAGCTCTAGAAGATAAAGGCTCCTTCCATCATCGTGCCTCAGAAATGCACATCAATGTTTTAAAGATCGTCGAACACTGGTCAGTGTTCAACATCCCCAGTCAGTTGCCTCATTCGGGATCCGAGTGAGGCACACACCTGGCATTCAGTGGCTTTGCCTCTCGCAGCTTTAATGATCAAATCCTGGGTTCTCTTCCTTCCTTGTGAGCTGCTTATTTTTCTAGCACATGTTGGAGAAGACACTGGGCTGTCTTCTACCCTCTACTGAGGGCCCCCTTCCAGGTGGCTGCATCCCCTTGGGATTGGGCAACAATTCTCCTGTCCCCCAGATCTCCAAGAGGAAATGTCAGATTACCCACAATTATCGCCCAGCTTTGTTCAGTCACTGGGGATCACAAAATTGTGAGAGTGACCAATGGGGGAGTTTTAGGCTTTTTCCTCTCTCTCCCTGTGTCACAATGAACACGCGACACTCGTTAGCGTATTTGACGTGCACTGACCCACTGGTCACAATTCTCACTGATGCTCAAACTGGTCCATCTGTGTCCAGCGGGAAGCTCTTTAAATGGGATCCTGAGCCTTCTGGGCACAACCCCACCTATATTCACAGCTTCCTTTACAAACAAGGGAACAGATGCCAGTTTCATCCCAAAGCCCCTTCCTGCACCTGGAGCACGGAGCATGGGAAGAGGCAGGAAAGACATGCAAGGGGCGCGGCAGCTGCAGCACCGAGCGCTGGGCAGGCGCCCCCACAGGGATACGTACCCTTCATTCTCTAACAGTCCTCTGCAGTCCACCACAGACCCGCCAGTGCCTATTCTGTCTCGCGTCTGTAAACTGACTACAACAGAAAAGAGCGCCTTGCATTAAAATCCAGGGGCGTTTTACACGGCTGTCATTACAGTGAGCCATTGAGAATGCGTGATTGATGCACAATATTGTTTTTTAAAAGCGAGGCATGTGCACATGCACACACACATTATATTCCTAAGCTCTCAAGCAGGAAGCATATTATTCCAGTAGCTACATATCACCACACACTGCCTGGAAAGTTCCCGGTACATGTGGAGCAGAATGAAGTGCTATGTTTTACACGCTCTCTGTAAATATGACAGAACACAATGTTCACTTCCTCTATGTTACCTTATTCTTTATGGAGATTTTGCCTTATGTTTAATAAGGACACAGCGAGCCCTTTCATTATTGCAAAGCCTAGAGGAATCCAAGTGTTTTATTCTTGGTCACTACTATGAACAACAAAAATGTTTATAAAATTATTCCCAGTTATTCATTTCTCCCTCCACAAACAAAAGAAGAAATCACAAACAGAGAAGCACTCAGTGAGGAGTTTTTCATTGAGGAGCTTTGGGTCAAGTCTGCATGAGACAAGACCTCGGAGATGCGGGGTCTCCCTGGTTTGCTGCCGAGATGCCGCGTTTTCCTGACCCCTCCCAGTGCACGTGATCGGCACACAACATTTCAGAGTTACCCTAAAATGCCGATAATGACTGGATAGATAATACCTTGGGCTCCTCAACAGGTAAATCACTTCCAAGAGGACAGCACCAGGCGACCCTCTGTAACATTAGCACATTTTATCTGTCCATTCTAAATCATTCAGTCCTCTAACTCCGTAAAATTGTATCACACAGAAGTCTTCAGAAATCAGTTTTGCTTTTTATATATCTGATGGTTTTTCCTGAAGAAATTATTTCTCAACTCTTACATAAATGGCCACCATTCTTATCATCTACCTCTGGGTAACACAATGAATGACAAGTTAATTATCCATTCTGTGATGATTAACATGACATTTAAAATTATAATTCTAAATCCTGTTGTTCCTGAGGCATTTTAACTCAACTCGGAATGAGAGGTTGAAGAGAACTAGATAAAATAACAAAAACCACACGAGAGCGAACTTCTCAGTGCTGCAGAGGTGGCCCCCAAGTGTGGCTTGTCCTTCGCAGTGCGTCACCATGTCAGTGCTCGTGTAAGTTTTCTCGGTGATGAGAGCTGAGTGTTAAGTTCTGCAAAAGCATCTCTTTGTACAGATGAGAAAGCTCTTACCCACTATTTGGCCGCGAACTGCGTCAGTATCTGAGGGGTTTAGTTTGCATAGATCCAAGCGCTGGTCTGCAAACAAACAATCCAGAACTTAACCCGGGGAAACGTTAACCAGGGCAGAGGGCAGAATTCTGCATTCAGCATTAAAAGAAAAAAATGACTCCTGATAAGCCTTCTTCAATTGCATTAAGAGGCAGGAAAGTGCTTGATGCTTACACCCAGTGTCCTTGAGTCTGCTGATGGCGTTGGAGAGCAGCCGCACACAGCCCAGGAAGCCAGCCCCCTGCTTCTTGTGGATCTTCTTGTGGTTCCACACGCTGATGGTTATAGAATCGCTTTTCCCAACATACCTAAAAACAACATACAATGCACTTTTAATTGGGCTTCTGAATTGTGAGAGCCCACTGAGATTTTACCTATTGACTTGTTCATACAGAGGAACCCTTTTAAAATAATGCTGGTTCTATATACCACGTGTAGCAGGTACCCAATAAATGTATGTCTGCTGATGTCAACAGGCTGGGAAAAGAACTATAACCAGTTTCATAAGAAGTAAACACACATAACCACATAAAGTAATAATCTTATAACAGAGATCCGCTATATTTTATTAGATCCAAAGGGCAATGACATGACCCATAAATTCCCAGCAATGTTAGATTTACTAGTTTTTTTTTTTAACCTTGCCTGAGGAGATGTCTATTGATTTTAGAGAGAGAGGAAGGGAGGGGGAGAAGGTGAGGGAGAGGGCTGCAGAGAGAGAGGAGAGAGAGAAACATCGATTGGTTGCCCTCCGTATGCTCCCCAGCCTGGGGTGGGATCTACGTGCCCTGACCTGCAACTGAACCCCCAACCTTTTGGGTACGGGATGGCGCTCCAACTGACTGCGCCACCCGGCCAGGGCAGGCTTACTATTGAACACTGGTTTACAACAGAGGACTGCCTATAAACCCACAGATCCATCCACAGAACCCCAGCGGGCACTAGCTCAGACACTCCCCTAGCCCCGCACTCTCAGTGCAGGTCAACCGCGGGGGGCAGCTTCTGGACCAGAACCGACAGCCATCCCCAGGCCCCTCGAGGTGCTGCGGTGTAACTGAAAGTGGGTTTTAGAATCCAACTGTTCAAAATCCCACCCAAATCTGGTACCATCTGGTTAATAAAAAACCAATAACCATGCAGTATTACTTGGACAAAAATTTCCTAGCAGGGACATGAAAACATAGATGCACATAAAATAGAGATTTTCAAAGTGCAATCAGTGTTATGAACAAGTATAAGAAACTGCCTGATGGTAATAGATTTATATACACTCAATCATACCAAAGTATATTGTCTCTTAAAGAAAATACATTTGTACTAGAAAACAGAATTTAAAAGGCAACAGAAATACGTGCAATATGTATTTGCATAATAAGTATGTATAATAATGTACTTTTCAAAGTGAAAAATCCGAACCCGATTTAGGGTTTCACTGAAACAAACAAACAAGGAAGACAGCGCATGGAAGACTCAGCCGTGGCCCCTTTTTCCTGTTAGAATGGCCAGCAGATTGGAAAGCGGCAGAAGATCACAATTTCAGAAGCAAACCATAACCATCTATAAAAATGTCAAACACAAGAACTCCCAAGTACATGGATTCTAAAAAGTGAGCAGTATTTACTTGACCATCTACTTTTGTTATCAATAACAAGTTGGAAATCCTTTTTTTAAAAAAAAATGCTTCTCATAAAAGCATTCCAGAGACCCGCTTCGCTGCCGCCCCGATGGCTCACAGAATGTGCAACTCACAGATCGTAGTGCTGGTTCCACTTGGGGTCCAACGTGTTCTTCACAGTGTCCGTCGAGTGGCATTGCCCAGATCCGTCCACCACAACCTTCGCGAAGGGGTCGGGGAGTCCTGGAGAAGAGGGGACAGCCAGCCCGGATGAGACCACAGACCTGCCCACGCGACACCAGAGCACAGTCTTGGAGGCAGTTGGAGCTTCACAGTCCTCTACGTTGGTAAAGATTATCCTGGTAGATTTCTTCCTTCTAATTTCAGGACATTTCGCTCTATTTAGCTTTCTAAGAAAGGCAACCCAGTGTGACATCGCTCTCAGAGTTTTAGAGGCTGGAAGCAAACTGGGCTTAAAGAAAACTATGTAAATAGGCACACACTGCAATTCCCATTTTTTGATCATCACTAAGTGTGGCTGATTAAATGGAGGACAAGGTGTCTACAATTAACTATGCTTATACTCCCTAAACAAGTCACACTGAGAAATCTTATTTACTGGCTTTCTCTATTTCATCTCTGGAGGCAAGTAGTAAATTAGTTAAGTCCCTAAATGAATTGGATGGTTTATAAGGTCAGAGAGAGGACCAACAGGGTTTCAGAGACAGACCTGGGTGGGGGCCACGCCCCAGCTCCCTGAGTGAAGCCTGGGAACCCCTGCTTCCTCGTCTGGAACGTGTGAGGAAGAACTCGGTGGCGAGCCCTCTGCAGGAGGCTGGGAATTCCAAGCTGCCACACCCACTTGATAGGAGGTGCGAGTCTTGACTTTAGGGATGATTCCTCTCTTTAGAAAAGGATCTTGGATTTTTGTACAATTCCTTTCATTACCAGACTTTGGAAATGCGATTTAACGCATAAAATTTGGCCAACAATTTTATTATGCCCGGCTATTTTATAGAAGTTCCCTGTCTGTATTTGAGCTGACAACACAGTCCAGCACACAGCCATGCACTAACGGCAGACAGAGGAAACCGGGCGTGGCCAAGCAGGGCGTGAGCCAGCCGGTTTCTCCCGTGTGAGTTGCACACTCCCGCCAGGAGCTCTGGGGGCCTGTGCGTGGTCTGCCGGGAGCCTGGTCAAGCCACAGGCTCCTTCTGTTCAGTGATGGGCAGGAGTCTAGGAGAACACACTCTACTGTTTTTGACAAGTTTAAAGTTCAGAAATATGTGAAAATACTAATATTGTAAGAGCAAAAATAGGTGTTTACTTACTGAAGAAGTCTTTCTTTGCAAGGTTCTTGGCGCATAACACTAAAAACAAACAAAAAGGCTAGGGTTAGCATCTATGGACAAGATTTTGACCAAGGCTCGCTGCTATGGACTGAACTTTGTCCCCCTCGCCCCATTCACACGTGGAAACCCGATCCAGTGCAATGGGAACTGGAGGCAGGGGGCCTTGGGAGGAGCGTAGGTTTCCACGAGGTCCTGAGGGTGGGTCTTTGTAAGACCGACCCCAGAGCTTGCTCCCGCCCAGCCCTCCCTGCGAGGGGACGCTGCAAGGAGGGTGCGGACGGGCCAAGGAGAGGCCCCTCACCAAGAACCAGCTCTGCTGGCTCCTGGACTGGAGGCTTTCCGGCCTCCGGAACTGTGAGAAATAAATAAATGTTTATTGTTTAAGCCATCTAGTATATGGTATTTTGTTATAGCTGCCCAAGCTCAGCAAGACCATAGTCTACATTTACAACAGAAAAAAATTCTAAAAATTATCTTTGTTAATGATTGCCTTTTAAATTTAGTACTACAGTAAGCAAAAAATTGTCAAGTAACTAAAAAGTATTTTCTCCTCCAGCCGGGAATCAACTATAGCAATGAAAATGTTTTAGTTCAAATTTAAAATCTTACTTAAAGATGTATAGATAGATTTATTAATATGCTCTTATAAATGCTTAAAATCACATAAATGCAAATGCAAATTAAGTCCTACAACATTTACCTTTTTAGCTGCTATTTTCCTTTTAAAGATTTTATTCATTTATTTTTAGAGAGGGGAAGGGAGGGGAAAGAGGAGAGAAACATTAATGTGTGGTTGCCTCTCTCACACCCCCTACTGGAGACCTGGCCCACAACCCAGGCATGTATGTGCCCTGACTGGGAATCCTACCGGTGACCCTTTAGTTCACAGGCCGGCACTCAATCCACTGAGCCTCACCAGCCATGGCCTTTTTATCTATTGTCAACAACAAAAAAAGGAACCAGCACTCTTCATATTCCCATAAATGATACAATTTTGTAAACGAAAATAAACTTTGGTATGTTGGGCCATCATTAGGTGTTGTGAAAAACAAATGACAGTGTGTATGCTAAGAATTTAGCAAAATGTTGTCATACAGAAATGGCAATAAATGCTATTATTATTCTCTTATTCATGAGGTGGTATCAATTACTGTTAAGAAATTCTGTCACCAAATCTGTTACATGATTAAAGCTACTATGGCAAGGGAATATACTCCAATGTCTCTTTTACACTGCTTCACAAATTTTGCTAACTTTTAAAGAATAATGTGTTTTGTTATGAACCTTTGAATATATTATTTAGAAAATATATTCATATAATATATATTGTTCTCCAACTTTTTCACTTTTTATATAATATTTATAAATTAAATAAAAATATATTTTATATAATAGCTTTATCAAGATATAATTCATAGAACACAAAATTCATCCACTTAATACACATAATTCAGTGGTTTTTAGTATACTCAGAGGGCTGAACAATCACCCACAGCCAATTTTAGAACTTTTTCATCATCCCCCAAAGAAGTCCCATACCCACTGGCAGCCAAAATCATTTCGCCTCATATCCCGCCAGTGCAAAGCAGTCCCTGATCTACTGCACTTCGGGTCTCCGTGGACTTGCCTATTCTGAACCTTTCGTATATAACAAATGGAACCAGAGAGCTCATGATGTTTTGTGACTGCCTTCTTTCACTCAGCATGTCTTTAAAGTTCATCCATGTTGTAGTATGAATCCCTGCCTTTGCATAACTGAGTAACATTCCGCTGTACAAATACACCACATTTTCTTACCAATTTACCAATGGGCAGACACTGGGGTTGTCTCCATCTTTGGGCGCCGTGCACGACGCTGTTGTACAAGCTGTTGTGCAGACACACGGTTTGATTTCTCCTACAAACCCGGGTGCAGAGCAGAGGCACGATGCTAAGATGGCCCGTCAGCACTGCGGGGCCGTCAGAGTCCCCAGGCCTCTGCACCAAGTGCATCCTTGCCCACAGCACAGGAGAGCTCTGATTTCCCTGCGCGTCCTTGACAACACTTGTTATTATCTGTCTCTGGTTTGACAGCTGTGGTTTCAACTTGTATTTCTCTACAGACTTGGAGCATGTTTTCATGAGCTTACATTGTTCTGAAGAAATCTCTATTTAGACGTTTTCACCTATTTTTAATTGATTACTTGCCTTTTTATCTAAAGACAAAATATACTTATCAGACTTACAAATATACCCCCATTCCGTGGGCTGTCTTTTCACTTTCTTGATGAGGTTCAATTTATCTATGTTCTTTAGTTGCTTGTGCTTTGGTGTCATGTCTAAAAAGGCTTTGCCTTATCAAAGGTCTTAAAGATTTAGTCCTATAGTTTCTTCTTAGAGTTTTATGCTTTTAGCTTTTTTATACGTTCAGCTACTCAAACTACTCTTAAATTACTGTTACATTACTCTAAAATAAACATTTAGGTCTATGGTCTATTTTGAGTTCATTTTTGTGTGTAAAATTAGAGGGGGCCCAAATTCATTCCTTTGCAGGTAAATAGCTATGCAATTCTACCAGCACCATTTGCTGGAAAGACTGTTCTTTCCCCACTGACTGACATGCTTGCTGAAAAACAATTCACTGTAAATGTGAGAGTTCTGCTGAGCTCCCTGTCTCTCCCTGTGCCATGACCACAGTGTCCTGCTTCCTGTCCTAGTCTGTTCAGGCTGCTATAACAGAATACTGTAGACTGGGCAGCTTACGAATAACAAACATTTATCTCTCAGTGGGGGAGGAGGAAAGTGCAAGATCAGGGTGCATGGCTGGGTGAGGCCCTCTTCCAGACTGCAGGCTGCTCGCTGTGCGCTCACATGGCAGGCAGACGGGCTAGGGATCGTCCCGGAGTCTCTCTCAGAAAGCATCAGGGTTCTACCCTCAGGACTGCAGCATACCCCAAAGTCCCTCCCTACCTACTAATACCATCACCTTTGGGGGCTAGGATTTCAACATACAAACTGGGAGTGGGGAACACACGAACATTCAGACCATAGCAGTTACTGCAGTTTTGTAGTAAGTGTTTAAAGTAGGAAATATGAGTCCTCTTTGTTCTTTTTCAAGACTGTTTTGGCTATTCTGGATCTGTTAAATTATCACATGAATTTTAGGTTCAAGTTGCTGGATTTTCAGAGGACTTTTCTTTAACTGAATGTGTAGGTGAATTTGGAGAGTACTGCCATCTTAACGATACTAAATTTTCAAATCTATGAACATGCAGTGTCTTCCCATTTATTATACTTCTTTCATTAAACTTATTCCTAAATGTTTGATTCCTTTTGATGTTATTGCAAATGAAACTTTTCTAAATTTAACTTTTAGATCGTTTGCTTCTAGTGCACAAAAATACAACTGATTTTTGTACAGTCAACTTGTACCTTGCAACTTTGTTGAATTTATTTATTGGGTCTAATACTTTCTTTGTGTTCTTTTAAATTCTCCATAGATAAGATCGCATCATCTTATAGAGAGAAGTATCTCTATTTGGGATACTTTCCTCTGCAACCTGGATGCCTTTTCTCTTTCTCACCAGACTGCTCGGCACCTCCAGTGACCACACCAAGAGAGGGAGGGCGGTCTCGTCTTGCTCCCCATCGTGGGGCAAACGTTTCCTCTTTCCACCACTGAGCGTGATGTTAGCTGTAAGTTTTTCACAGATGCTGCTTATTAGATGGGGAAGCTTTTTTTGCTGTTTCTGGTTTGTCATAAAGGGGTGTTAGCTTTTGTCAAACACTTTTTTCTGCATCTTCAATTGAAATGGTAATTTGATGTTTGTCTTTTATTTACTGATGAGATATAGTGGCTAATTGATTTTCAGATGTTACACCAACTCTGTATTCTGCAATCAGTTCCACTTGGTTACGGCGCATAATTCTTAACATGCTGCTGTATTCAGTTTGCTAATATTCTGTCCAGGAAGATTTCTGTCTATACAAGGGATATTCATCTGTAGGGGGGTTTTGTATCAGGATGATCCAGATTTCACAAAATGAGCTGGCAAGTATTCCTTCTGGTTTTATCTCTCTCTCTCTCTCTATCTATCGGTGGGGGGAAGAGTTAGTGAAGAAATGGTACTCAGTCTTGTTTAATGTTTTGTAGAATTCACCAGTAAGTCACCTAGGCCTGGTCTTTTTTGGGGTGAGGGGGGAGTGTTCTTCAATTACTAATTGAATTTTCTTTACTATTTTATAGGTCTATAAGATTTTCCACTTCTTCTTGAATCAGCTTTGGTAACCTGTGCCTTTCTAGAAACCTGTTGGTTTTGCCTAAGTTACCGATTTGTTGGCATACAGCTGTTAATGCACAGTATCTCCGATAATCCTTCTCAGCTGTATAGAGTCGAGAGTAACATTTCCTATTGACTGCAGTGTCTACACACTTCTTTCCCACCGTAGACACACACACCTATCCACACACACATACACACATTCTTCAGTCTTTTTTGTAGACAGATCATAATTTGTTACAGCTTCTGATGCTGTTTTATTTCGCTTCTCTAATTAGAAAAGTAACAACAGACTTGCAAAAAGTAACAACCAGGAAACGTGTAAACACGAAATGCACCTCCCGAAAACCTGAAAACCCCGCCCTACTCTCTTCCCTGGCTAGTCGTTCTTGCTTACTTTTCCCATTAAACTTCAGAACCATTCTGAGCAAGTGAAAAAAATAACTCCATCCATAAATCTGAGGAGCATTCACCTCCTCACAATATTGTATATTCCCATTCTTGAATGTAGTACATTTATCCATTTACTAAACTTTTCACTAATGCCCTTGAGTGAGGTTTGGAAGTATTTCATAAAAGTTCTCCATGTCTAACTGGTTCACTCTGGAATGTTTCAGTTTTCATTACTGTCGTGAATAGCAGTGTTCCTATGTTTAAAGAAAAGCTTTTCCTCACATTAACTGTGACTCGGCCGTCTTTTTCAGCTGTCCTCAAGCAGACTTGCAATGTCCTTTCCTTCCGCTCCCGCCCCTTTCCCAC